AATGGTAGATAGGCAACATGCACAGCACTCCGATGCAAAAGAAATAATCTTACCATGTAATTGCAATCTGTGCTACTTGAGAGCTCGCTGCGAGTTTCAAGATGGTGTAAGTGGGAATTAAACTGAACTTTCATGCTGAAGGTATTTCATCTCGTCTCAATTAGAGTTCAAAACAATAACAGTTAGTTCTGTTCCATCTCTCTTCTCCCTTTGCCGATGCCGAGAATTCCGCGAAGAGAAATGACGTCATTATTTAGCCCGGCAGGCACGCAGAACCTCTCATCGACCGCGTGAATGGAACAGATCGATTTAGGAGTCGTGGCCTTGACCAAGTGGATTTTGATATCGGAGCGCATCGCTCTGTCCGTCAAAACACGAACGAAAGGGTTTTCCTGGAAATGCTTTTATAGCCCTGGTTTTAACAAAACTTAGTTTTTTGATAGAACTTCATTCCCTAAGTTAAATCCTAAGAATTTAGTCTTTCCTCCCACAAAAGAGAGAGAGAGAGAAAAAAAACCACATGGGTCTGAAATTGAAAAAGGCTTAAATCAGAGAAACCTCAATTTTCAATTTATCTCATTCCTCGATATTACCCTGATTTTTAGCAGCAAACACTGAACAAAAATCGTGCAGAGATGAATTCGATTTAGAGAATAAATTGTGTAAACAAAAAATAAAAAAAAGAATGGTAAAAACATGGGAAAATATGAGACTGCAAATCCAAATATTTTGGCAAATAATTGGCTCCTTGGCCTGATATTTAGCATGACTGGCAGTGGACCAACAGTTCAGGGGTCTCTGGTTCAAACCCCGCGAAATGTTTCAACAGCAACAGCAAGAGTAAAAATAAGAAGTTCGTGGGTGGCATTGATTTATTTTTTCCGACGTGTACATCATGGTGTGTTTAATTTTTTAATATCCGGAGTCTTGCACCCTGCTTGGATATAGATGAACCGATGGTGTAGTATTTCCTCTTTTCACAGTGCGATTTCATGTAATAAAATTTAATTTTAAGTTTAGTGCAAGCTTTTTCTTTGAATACAATTTTGAAAAAGCGCTCTAAAAACAAGTGTTAGATTGTGCTAAACTACTTTTATTTTCGATCTTAGACCTATTTTTCTCATTTCTTGTACAGAAGAAGCAGCTTTCTTAAATGGCGTTTTCCAAGATAAGGGCCTCCTTGCGCATAATTCCTCAACTGAGTAAATTGATTATGGTCCCTCGAAATATTGCGCTCAAAATCAGACCATCAATTTCAAAACATTGATACAACATTTGAAGAACATCAACATTTTCAAAAATACCCAAATTTCACGATGGTAAAGTTTCAAGAGTTTCAGTTGATTTCTATCATAGACCTACTAGCTTAAATTACAATACTGCATTCTAGAGTGTCCACTAAAACCGGCTGGCAAAAGTTAAGTATTTTTATGGTACTTTTTCGGTAATTTTCCAAAAAAATTCAGTGCCTCATAAGCATGAAAAAATCAGTACTTCTTCGGTGCCTTTAAAATGATTGTTGATTTGAGTTCCTTACAGTTAGTTATTTTTCTTATAGCTTGTTTATTTTAAATTATTTTATACAAATTATCCGTTTGCTAAGTACAATTGTAGCTTGAGTGCACTTAAATTGTGCGGTCAAAACTGCAATTGCAGAAAAGGAAACCCGACAAGACTAGCGTGAAGGCTACTTCAATATCAATCTTCCATCGCATTGCTAAGGCGCAACGATACAACTATTCGTACTCTACGGTATGCGTGAGGTATTACGCCACAATTGAAGGCGTTTTCGAAACCACCAACTTTCCATATCGGGATTCTCGTTCCGCATAAAATTCGGAGCATGAAATAAACGGAGTGACTGCTTTTACGACCTAGTGCAACAGTTATGCGCACATCTCCTTGTTTAAATTTTTGTTTATAGCTTTCGTTTCAGTTGATAATAAGCGCGCAATTTGTTCGGATGTGTTTTCGTTCTATTTCAGCTTTCCGTACACATTTTTTACTATAATTTCGTGTACGTACTTGATGGTTGTTTTGAGTTCCCTTCAATTAGTTATTTTTTTTACCGCTTGTTTATTTTGAATTCTTCTATAAAAATTATGAATTTGCTAAATACAATCCAAGTTTGAGCACACTTTAATATATGGGGCCAAAACTGCAAAAGCGGCAAAGGAAAACCGACAAGGCCAGCGTGGAGGCTACTTCAATATTAATCTTCCATCGCATTGCTAAGGCGCAATGATACAACTATTCGTGCTCCTTGGAATGCGTGAGGTATCACGCCACAATTGAAGGCGTTTTCGAAACTGCCAGCTTTCCATGATGGGATTCTTCTGTCGCATAAAGAGGGTGTCTACTAAAACTGGCTGGCAAATATGAAGTACTTTTACGGTACTTTTTCAGTAACATCCCAAAAAATTCGGAACCTCATAAGCAGAAAAATTCAGTGTTTTTGTGGTGCCTATGAATGACGAAATTCGAAAATTGTCGGAATTCACGTGCAAATCGCGAGAAAAATGACGTTGCCAGGAAATTCGAAGCTCATTGGTGGCCTGAGGATCAATTGGCTTTAGAATCTCGATTCAACGGGAAAATACTGCACTAATAATCATTGCGCAACGGATTTCATATTTTCCACGCTGTTTTAAAAAACCCGTGGCATGAAGCAAAAAACTACGGACCTTTATAGGAGAATTTCCGTGCTATTTCAGTACTTCCGGAATGCCCTCAAAAAAGCAGTGCTACTTCTAGAATTTCCGGACTAGTAGACACCTTGCTTTACTTTCTAAGTGTGTAGAACATGAGTTCATGAAAATATCAAAAATTTATTTTAATAATAGCTCCCGTAAACCTACAGAGAGAAGGCACCAGTCATGACCCTCGTGGATCTCATGATGTAAATAATTGAATTCGAACGATTTTCATCTAAACTTCGATGGAATCAAGACTAGCACATCAACATAAATTGACAAATCATAAGACAGTTACAAAATTGGCTTGAAAAATTCCTTGACCTTTCCACGTCCTTTCTGACAAAAGTAAAAGGTGGCTCCTGATTTTTCATGTCAACAATTTGCACCCACAAAGTTGAAAATGAAAAATTTGTTGTTTCAATTTCATCGCAAATGACAGAAACACATAAATTTTTTCTTCAAGTATATCTCATTCAACTAACTGAAATTGCGATTTTCACTGATACTGATTCCTCTATTCACTATTCAGAGTATGACTCGGAGGATTGACCCTCAAACTAGACTGGGATTTAGTTTGAGCCAGAGGACAGCACCGACTTTTTAAAAATTTAAAATCAAAAGATTTTTCAAAAATCCAGTCTATTTCATAAAGTTCTCTTACACTTCCCTGATTTCCCTAAACTGATGATATTTCTGGACTATTTCCTGTTTTCAAGGTTTACCAGACCTGTAGATACCCTGAATCAAAACAAAGTTTTGTGATTTCTATGCAATTGTAAACAGGGAATTTCGATTTCATTCACTTTGAATATTTCATCTGTTTGCAAGACAGCTAGCTTAGGAGCTTTGAATTTTGGACAAGCACCAGAAATGCATTAGGGAGAGTGTCAAAACAGATTTGCCACATTATGAGGCACTAAAGTTACTGGCAAACATATGTGTGCATTCAAGTGCTCACGCACACATTGACACCACTGGCATTGCAATGCACATAACTGATGCCCTAGTGGCATTAATAAATCTGGGTGAGCAACATTCCTGTTATCACAAGAATTTTCAATAGAATATTTCAAACTGTTCGGAAGCTATACACACAGCAGAGATTAAATTCTGACCAGAAATTGGACACTCTTAAGAAGAGCAACATTAATTAGAAGGGCAGAGAGTTCTATTTACATGGGAAATTCCGGATGTCAAGCAAAATTTTCTATCCCTTCTCCCTGACTTTCCAGGTTTTCCTTGATCCTTGGATTTTCCATCTCCCTGACTTCCCCTGACTTTTTTTGCCGAATGGAAAGAAACGCAAAAATAAACATAGTTCAGCGCCAAGTATCGTACGGATTGATAGAGGATTTTTTACAGAGAAAAATCTGATACAGACCAAGAGAGAGCGTTGCAAGGCTCCTTAGTAAAGCGCCATGAAGTTATGCAAAAAATAACAATGTTGCACAAGAGTTATAATTCTCTCAGTTGTGCATTTACTCTCCCTGACTTTCCCGGTGGCAAAACACTCTGGAGGATTTTACTCCACAAAAAACAAAGAAGTAAAAGTGCTGTCTGTAATCCGTAATCCAATCACTAGCCCTTTCACATCGCAACCAACACTCCATCTTTCAAAAATCAACTTCCGAACGACAGATACAATTACTTTCCTCTGAGTTAAACCCTCTTTAAGTGAAATTTTCCCCTGGATCGAACTTTTTTAAGGTCCCATCGAACTTTTCATTCGCACAAAAAGCCCTTTAAGTGGAATTTCTTTCTAAGTGGAACTAATAATCAGGTCCCCGTGCAGTTTAACTTGGAGGGAGTTAACAGTAACAAGAATTTCAAACACGGATCAAATGGGAGTAGGATAATACAACAGATGCCAATTATATTTTTGCCATTCAATTAATATTTAAACAAACACTATATTCTTGATTGGCGGTGAATTTACAGACTTCCCATCATGTGATTTGTTTTTCTCCTTAAACTTCAAAGAAAAATAAAGTTGCGCGGGGCTACAATTCATACCTTGTCTAGAGGCTAATTTGGAATAATGTGATTCCTTGGGGCATTTAAGACGATTTAAAAGTTTCCACACTCTTTTAACAAATACATCTCTCTGTATGGTGATGTTCAATTAAAGTACACCAGACTCTACTTGATCAAATTAAAATCAGAGATAAAAATTAATGAAAAGAAAGACGTTAAAACCAAAGAGACCTTGCTTTTAAAATTAGATTGCGGCATCAACCAATAGCAAGCAAAGTGATTGAAGGTAAAAACTTCCCAAGAAAAAAAAGAATATGATCAAAGTCTTACCTTCGACGATGAGGTGAGCATCGCATGATGTTTTACCAGCCTCGTTTTCTGCAATACATGAAATTTTACCCTGATCTTCTGTCCTTACTTCAGGAATTGTCAAGATTTGGCGATCACCACTTGTTGAAACTAAGAAGTTACTCCCAGAGACAGGTTCATTGTTGAAATACCATTTTATCTATTTAAAAAAAAAAAATTACCAATTAATTGAAGGTTGCAGTTGTTGCAAAACAAATAACAGTACTGGTATAAGGTAAAAGACATGAATGAAATCAGATTCTTCAGGGAAAACTTAATAACTGAGTTGAATAAGAAAAAGGGACAGTCGGCCCCTTGAGGCAGTGAGGCATATTCAATCAGAAGGAATCTGTTCCCTGTCTTGCTATGTGATGGAGTGGTTTTATACCTTGGAAAATTAAATGGTGACAACGATCATCAAAATGAAAATAGAAATACAGGACCCAACAACGAAAATAAATATAACAGCATGACCATGAGCGTGCTAAAAGATTGTTTCTGAACGGATCAGGGATTCCACCGGGATGTAAACATGTGTTAAAAAATAAAGCAGAAAGACTAATGAAAAAATGTGTACAATTTTTTAGAGGGACCTTTCAAATATTTTTTCTTAGTTTCCTCCTCCAAAATTAAAATGACATTCTTTCCTCCCAAGTAAATAATAAATCACTCCAAAGGTAATAAGGAAAATGACCTCTTTGGCACAAATCAGACGTTCGTAACTCTTATTATAGAATCATATATCATAAAAAGAGGGCTGATAATGGAAAAGTTTGAAAGAGGGTTTGCCTTTGACCAAAAAATTCTTCATAGGCTAAAAAACAACAATTGACTCACGAAAATTTCCTATATTAAATCTCTCTCATTGAGAAAATTCGTCCATTATCCAAAGAGACAGACTTTAAAGTATGGTCTTAACTTCAAAAATATTTTCAAATGTATAAAATACTCTATTTTTACAAAAAAAAATCTTGCAAATTGCTTTAACTTGCCTTTGGCGCTGGTTTTCCGACAACTTTACATTCAAACTTCACAGATCCTTCAACAGGCACAGTTTTGTCTGAGAACATTTCAATAAAAGCAGGGATGGATAATTTTTCCTCTAACTGAATGTCTGATGATGGTTTAGAGTCCAGAGTGGTATTTTCTTTCACGATCAGGTGAGAAAAACACTTCACTTCACCTAAGGAGTTGATTGCTTTAACTGTGTAGACGCCTCTATCCTCAGGTTTAACATCGGTGATGTACAGTTTGTGGGTGCCATCTGCATCTTCTGAAATCTGAGACAGGCAGAAGAAATTAGGTATCTGAGTTTTGGGGGTTGGAAAAATTGGGCCTGAGGGCATTGCACTTCTGCTTTTTAAAGAAATTTAGCACTATTCATTGGGATGATTGGACTGTGTTTAGCAGAAAAGAACCTAGCCACATCAGCTATTGCCAAATTCAACTGGGTAATTTAATTTTTAACGCAAGAAAGTTGGTTCTACCACCTGAGGGTACTGGTTTAAATAATCTTGCAAATGGGATGTTTTTATTGAATGTCAATTATTGCTTCAGAAGAACTAAGGTGTAAAAATCATAATCCAATGACTTTTTAACAATCTTGTGGTTACAAACTTACTTGGACTCTGCTTGATGGGGCTATTTCAGCATTGTTCAGATACCATCTGACGGTTGGGGCCGGCTGCGCAGAGATTGAAACTTCAAGAGAAACTGAGTCACCCTCTCGTGTTAAGATATCGTCTAAAAGTTTATTGAATTTGGGTAAAACTGTTTCTGTTACTTCGATAGTTTCAGTGCTTTCAGATCCTTGTGGTTCTTCGATAATTTTGACCTCAGGACCTACGTACAGAGAACTCACATTAAAGTTTGAAACAAAATTATGGGTGGAAGATGAAAAATTGAAGGTCATTGCGACTGTCACGGCTCATTATTTTGCTCAGAGTTTGATTGTGTAAAATGCAAAAATAAAAATAAAAAACTGAGCTTTAAATCAAGTGGCAATGTATGAGTCTTTTAAAATTAACTGATTTATGTCACTTTTTGACAATTTCAATCTCAAAAAATAACCATTTTTTTTTTTTTTTTTTTTTTTTTTTTTTAAATGCAAAAACGGTTATTTAAGAATATTCACACACAAAATATGTCTGATGGTACTACAGATGAAAAAAAAATGAGGTAAAATTACTTTGAACTGATAGTGAGCAGGAACTTGAGATTTCTCCAGCTGAGTTAATGGCAACTACTTCGTATTCACCACTGTCTTCCTGACTAACATGGTCTATGACTAGAGTACAACGGTCACCAGCAAAAATCAACTGTAAATCGGACGATTCTTTCACAGGTTTTCCTTCAAAATACCAGATTACCTGTCATAAAAAAAACACACAAATCATTATCCATTTTTCAAATTATAATATTTCACAAATTCAAACGAGCACATATCATAATTTATTATTCCAAGTTAATTGAAGATTGAGGGCGAAGCGAACATAAGTTTTCTAGCAGTTTCTACACTACCAATTGGAGAGATATTTCTAAAATTGTGCAAATATTCAAAATCTGTCACCGAGACCACGAATGCTGAACCCATTTTGATGGAATAGTTGGATTGCATTTTGCAAAAAGGAACCAGAAGCATTGCAATGGTGCTAAGATTGTGCACCTACATCATTTGCAATAAAATTAATGAAACCATGAAAAAATATGAAATTTAGATAATAATTTTTGTCTCAAATTTATAGTTTTTAGCGAGTAAATTAGGAACTGTTCATGGATAATCAGGTTTTTCTTCCAAAACAAAAGAAGATGCACAATTTTAGCAACATTGCAATGCGCTTGGTTCCCTTTTGCAAAATGCAATCCAGTTATCCATATAGTGAGCGCAAAAATTTGTCAGAATCTACAAGAAAAAAGAGGAGGAGAAGGTGAAGTTACCTCAGGCTCAGGTTGAGCAACAATAATACAGTCCAACTGGGCTTTTTCTCCTTCAACGACAGTCGCGTCTTTCAGCGGCATTTTTATCACTGGCTTCACCAACTCAGAATCACTAGCCAGTTCGGAATCAGAAGTTTCTAGAGGAGGGATTCCTTTCACAGCAGCAGTACAAGAACAGGATGCTTCACCACTCGTGTTTTTGGCGAGTAATCTGTAAACACCTGCATCTTTTGGAAATGCTTCATTGATGGTTAGGCCAACTTTATTCCCATCATGGAAAAACTGGAAAGGGAAAAAAATAAACTGATATTAGGAAAAATTGAAACCTATGGAGGGCAAGTTTATTTTGTACAGGCTAACAGGCACGCTAGGTAAGTATGACGTGAACTTATTAGATTATGCTATAAACGCAAAGCCAAAACAAAACAAACGCTCGATACGCCATAACTTTTTCAAAGAGCGAGTTAAAATGTTCCAGTATGGATTATTTTCCGAACTTTGACCCTTCCACAGGGGGCCAGAGAAGAAAGCAACCCCTCCAAAATATCATTATTTTCAAATGAGGACTCTCCACTTATGACACATCAGGTTATGGCACATCAATCGTTTCTCCTGCCAATCCCAGTAAGTTTTCCCTCCACAATCAAAGGACTATACGGATTATACAATCTCTCAAGGAGACAGCTCAGCACATATTGAACCAATCAATAACTACCAAACTTTATGGCATTTGATCTTGTCAGCTTTCACTTTAGATTCTTACCGTTATGGAGGTCATAACATTTTGCAGAAGATCAACAACTTTTGAACAAGTACTCCGAAAAGGTAAGAAAATTGCAGAGAAAAACTTACCTGGACATCTCTTGTCTCAGGGATGACTTTATCATTGTGTATCCAAATAAGCTCAGGATGAGGCTCTCCTTCAACTTCACACTCCAACTTGATCTTCTGGCCTGCACGAGCCATTACATTAGAGAGGGGGCTGATAAATCTTGGTGCTTTGCTCACTGCCTCTTCACTTCCTTTACCTAAAAAGAATAAGGAAACAATTTTAAGATTGTTCACTAACATTACTAATAAGTAAAAACAGGGAGAGAATATGCATGAACATGATATCAAAAATTGTAAGAAATCATAGGTTCTGAACAAGATATGATTTTAAAAAAAGTAAAAGTTCTTATTTTTCGACACATTTTTGGATAATTTCTATACTTTGGTTTCTTTATGGAGGTCAACTCTCTTTCTAGCTTATTTCTTGATTTTTTTTTTTCCACCCATCAATCTTTGCACTTTCTTCCCCAATGCGTGTCTCTTTGCAGTGAGGGTTTTTTGGCTGTTATAGTTATTCAGAATAATTCCCATCTGTATTGAGATCATTAAAAACTAGACAGGATATGGACTAAAATTATTACAACCTTCTTCAACACTTCAACATACCGATGGTCAAAGTGCAAAATCTTGTATCTGTTGTAACATATTTATGAAGTTGCAGACTTCTTTTCGTACTTTATACGTTATTTAGAAAACTAACAAACATACTTAATTGCTTGAAGACTTCCTTGAATTTTCCTATCTATTAACTGAATACATGTTCTATAAGAATTGCGAGCTATAAAGTTGGCTTGTTTTTTTTGTAAAAAAATAAAAAGAGAACGGAGATTTTGAAACGACACATTCAAGTTACGTGGTTCCTGGTTGTAATTTATTATTTGGGTCCAAATCATTTAGTCTATTTTACAGGCCCTTGGTTCTAAAACCATAAATTGAGAATTCCTGTCCAATAGTGTACAATTATTGCTAGGATTTGAAAAGACTCACTTTCAACAGAGACACTTGCATGTGAATAACTCGATCCTGATGCATTGTTGGCTTTGCATGAATACTTCCCGCAGTCATTCTCTGTTGTCTTTTCTAACTTCAAAATAGCTTCCCCATTATTGTAAGATATTACATAGTCGGAGCTGTTATCGATACAGACGTCATCCTTGTACCATTGTACAGTTGGTAGGGGGTTGCCTGTGACTTGACATGAGAGTTCTAGCTCTTCACCCTCTTTTGTTACTGTGTTTTGGAGCGGCTTCACAAACTCAGGAGCAGAGATGTGCTCGTCAGATGGAACCTCTGAAAAAATGAGTAATATGATACTCAGATTATTTCGTAAATTTTGAGTTTTCGTGCGAGTATTTTACTGTTTTTCCACAAAATTTGTGATTGAGGAACTCCTGTATTTAATTAAATGTATTATGAATGGTTTTCTAAAATTATCATAGCAATATGAGCAAGACTAGTAACATCTCAACAAGTTGGCTGCCATGCTGTCCCATGGGGACCTGCGATGACTGGTTCCACAAAACCATAGAACTCACTAAGGAAAGTTGAAACCATTGACATGCACAAAAAATGTACTGTGAATGTGCTAGATCGAGGAAATCTGAGGTGTGTGAAAACTCTGGGAAACCTCCCTTCCAGATGAATAAAACCCTCAAGATTTACCCGCAATTTTTTTTTTTTTTTTGAACGCTTTAAACTTTTTAAAATAATTGTAAGTGTACATGCGGACTCTAAGGAACAAGTGATGTTGGCCATGAGAAATTTCACCATGGAAAATATTAGTGTGAAAGGAGAAAAATCGTGGAGAGAATTTTCATACATAATAAGTCAATTAAATGCGAAAGAATATTACCACCAAAATTCTAAAACTCTTCACCTCTCTTAATTTAAAAATCTAAATTTTCGTTTATACTCCCATTTTCAAAATTATCTGTAAACACGTTTATGGCCTGAGACGCTGAATGTCTTAAAATTATACTAACTAACTAACTAACTCAAAATTTGTTGGTGTGTCAAGGCACACCCTGGCCTAATACTGCGTACACTTATGATAAACACACACAAAAAACTGGCCAGAAAAGTAAGAATCACATACAGATGACAGTGGTGCACTCTTCAGGATACTGCAATAACAATCAGTCATGATTATAACAAGCTGACAGCTCTAGTGGCACTCTGGCAGCTAGCAAACTACAGCTGGCGTAACACTGTGTACCTTTGGAACGACATTGCGTTGGCTTTGTGAGACTGGGGACTGAAAAAGCCTAGACAGTCAACTAGCTTAAAGCAAGCTCTGTGATGTTCATTTTACTCTCGAATCTCATATTTATATGTTTCAATAACGAAAAGTTGCTTAAGCTACATCAACATTTAATACAAACTTTCAACTGAACTTCACTCTTACCAGTGACAGAGAGTACAGCCGATGTTGAGACGGAACCTGCCTCATTAGTTGCAACACATGTGAACTGTGCTGAGTCTTCAGCAAATGTTTCTTCTATTGTCAAAGTGCAGATACCATCTTCAAATTTTGTCAGGTAATCAGGATTATTTTCTATCGATAAATTATCTTTGAGCCACTTAATTTTAGGAGTTGGACTACCGGTAATTCTGGAAAGTACAAAAGAAGATATTTTAAAAAAAATAGATATTAAATAATAAAATATAAATGGGATCTTAAACTGATCTATATGCACAATGAGGGAGAATCACTTTTGAGGTGTTTTTTCATCTTTTACTTTTGATATTGAAAATTAGGAGATTTGACGTTTATCAGTGCTTTGATTATTTGTAAAATAACTTTGTTTGCTCAATGACCCTGGCTAAATTTATTTTCTCAGAAAATGTTCAATGATTTTCTAAAAAAGTTATTTTTTAGGAGGATACTGTATAATCTTGACATTAATAGCTTGGGATAAAAATCTTAAGGCTTTCAACCAGTTATTGAATGATTTCGAATGAACAACTTTTGGTGAAACCAAATGGTATATTTACTATATGTAGCTTATTTTGAAAATTCTGATATTATTATAAATAAAAAAATTTCAAACACTACCTAATACTGAGACGTTACCATAAAAATACATACCTGCATTCTAGAATGAATTTTTCACCTTCCTGTACGGTACATGGCACCAGAGGTTCAGTAAAAACTGGAGGTTCAAGCTTCTCCTCCTCGTTGAATTTTGCTTTTTTTTCAGGAGGTGGAGGACTGGGTGATTTTCTATCCTGTTTTTCAAGTACTTCTATTCGTTCGTCTGGAGGTGACTCTTGTATCTGAAACAAAATGAACACGTGCCCAGTAAGTGGAGAGAGATCAAGAAAAAGTGAATTAAATTAAACCTCAGTTTTTCCCAGATATGTACAGATTTCTCCTAGAAGAATTTGTCATTTTTCTTGCGAAGGAACGTGACTCCGTCGGAAGGTCCAATATCAATTTAAACAATTTTACTTTTCACAAGAATGTGACTGCACGATTTGTGTCCAAAATTTTACTGCTTTTTGCTCTTAATCTGTGGGATAAAAAATTAAAACCGAAAATTTCAGTTAGAAATGCCACATAGTCTCCAAGTTGAAAATATAATTTGCTAGGGGAGTTTCTAAAACTTATATTTACCATGAGGAGGCAAAAGACAGTTTTACTTTTAAAAGAACATTTGAAAAACGAGGTTTTTTTGCAAAGTTTTTAGTTAATTCTTTTGGGGAGTTTCCATCAAATTTTTATGATACCTTGGCCCAATCAGGGTGTCTACAGACTTAGCAGGAAAAAATTCCCTGATTTTCCAAGATTTTACCTGTCGAAAATGATCAACATTCTCTGACTTTTTTCATTGACAAAATAAAGACGTAGAACTGAAGATAAATGTGATGTACTCACAGGATCGACTTGAATTTCTTTTTCTTCCTCCTCATCAACTTCCTGAATGGTAAGCTCAGAATGCTCGTTTTCTTCGGAGATCTCAGATGGTTTCTGTACTGTCTCATCCAATTCCATTTTCATTTCTTCAGTTTTCCTATATGAGTCTCCGAGAGCTTCCAATTCTTTGCAGACTGACTGAAATGATTCAACTAGTTCCTGACTTTCAGAGGTCATCTGTTCTACAGTGCTGGGTTTCTCTTCACCTGAAATAATAAAAAAGTAAATCAAAATAAGCAGAAATATTAAGAATTGAATTGCATTTATTTATTTCCTATTATTCTATTCATCTACAGTATTTTCAGTAGTTATGAGATGGGGTACTAGAGACACTTTTTCACCACTAAAGATTGCAATAGAAGTCAGCCAAAGAAAATCACCAGTTATTATCACCTAAAAGTTTCTGAAGATAAATTACTTGATGACTTCCTGAATTTTAGAGTTTGTCATTACATGGAAAAAATTGTTTTAAATTTCTGGAGTTCCTTCAATAACTTCAAGGTTTGTGAGACATTGAACATGTTTCTAAAATAAAAGCTAGCATGTAGCAAACTTACCAAAAATTTGAGCTGCAAGTTGAGATATTTTATCAAGCCGCTCTTCTTGCCTAACTTCTTCCGGCTTGAGGAAAAGTTCTATTTGTTCTAGTAACTGATTGATTTCATCAGGGCGTTCTACTTCTGATGTTTTCCGTGCTATCATAATTAGAAGTTTACTTCCTTCCCTGAACCACTCTTGCGCCTGAAAATTTGAAAAGCAACACTAAAGATTAGAAAGTCTTACGTGAGAAGCTAAAAGATTTATTCTTTCACCAGCTGTTTGAACAACTTTGCTATGAGCTGTATGACTTGCAGTAAGCTTATTAGATGTTAAGGACAGGAGAAATAGTTTAGAGTCGAAAACTTTTGTCAAACTTGTGCTAGGTTCTAAATTAAACGAGTTAATGCTTACATGTGAAAGTGAATAAAATCAAAAGGAACTGTGTGAGTAGGTTTTACAAATTTCATTGTTCGTTTCAATTTTGCGAATAGTTTTTTTGAGTATGAATACCTCCAATTGACATGATACTTTTTCACAGTCTGGCCTCTGAAGATGAACAGTAAAAGGAAACAAATGCTTACTCAGGTAAAGTCTCATGAACATACAAATTGACAAGAAAAGGAGAAAAAACGCGGCGACAATTTTTTTTTTTTTTTTTCATTAAAAAGCTTGTTTTGAGTTTATACTATTTACACAAAAATTAATAATTGCGTATACCTATAATTTTGATGGGGATGATTGGTGCTGCTCGACAAGAAAATGAAATACTTTTCTGTCGATGAACTATGACTCTTGTCAAATCAGTTTCATATTAGAACTTAAAATCTAACAACACATTTATTTTAACGATATCATGGAAAAATGAAGATGCCTGAATTAAATGGAATCAGACTTTAAAAAGAAAGATTTCATGAAAAAGTTCTTACCTCCTCAACTAATTGGAAATACTGGATACTTAAATCAATTAAATGCCTACTTTTGTTAACTTCCTCTAAAAATGCTTCCCTAGATTTCTTTAATTTGCCTAGTTCCTCATTGATATGGTCTGAGTTGCATTCGCCGCTATTGAGCATAGCCTCAGCAGCAGTGATGAATGTTTCAATACGTTGTTCTAGAAGCTGAAACAGAGAAGGTTTAAAATGAATGCAAATCTAGGGTTCATTATGCTGTGCCACATGAAAAACATTAAAATTTTCTTGTCATTAGTTTGAATTTCATTCTCTTTATTTCTATTTAGGTTATTATTTTCAACCTTGATTTGAAATTTAGTTTGCTCGGAGATTAATTGGTGATTAGCAATACATATTTACGTTTAAAAACATCATAAAATTTGAAGACTCATTTAAAGTTTGATAAAATACGTATAAAAGAAGATATTTCAGTTTTCATAAAGTAAATAGAAAAGAGTTAAGTACACTACAGCTCATTTAACGATAGTATTTTTAACTATGGGATAAAAACTCCATTAACGCTTAAAAATTTTGTTCTGTAGAACCTTCAAATTGCGAGTTTGGTGACATCAAGCTTTGAATATTCTGGAGATTTCTAGCAATAATTGAATTTTTAGCTCCATTTTTAAATGAAATCTTGTAAAAATGAATTTTTTGTTTTCATGTTTTCAACTTTAAACTCTCTTGTAACCATAGCATAAAGTTGTTGATCAATTTGCAGACTGAGTCTTATAGATATGAGGTGTTTGCAAAAAGTTGACTTTTTTGTACTAGAGAGCAGAAAAATTTCAGAATGGGAAGATAGCCTTCCATGATCATCCTTTTTTTGTTGAAAATACGAGTAATTCAATAATGACATGATTACTCTGATCTCAGAGCTTGAGTTCTACAATAATTCCAAAAAAAACTACCAAGAAGGTCAATTCTAAAATATGATTAGCAATTCTATAGTAAGCAGAAATGTTCAGAACTTGGCAGGTAAATTATTCAATAACTCCAATACCTATTGATACAAGTTCTCTGTGGTCTAGCTCATTAACAAGAGATAATACCTGCACAGTTTTCTCAAAGTACAGGAATGCAAGAGATGTTGATTTGGCTGAGGAGAGGCTTTCGCCATACTGTCCACGGATGGTGATCAGCTGTTTAGATAAATCATCTAGATGGTGGTTGATATTTGCCAGATCTGTATCAAATTGACACAGCTGCTGTTTTTGTTCAAGCTTAACTTTGTACTCCGCCCAATTCCGTTCCCAGCTACTTCGTTTCATGTCCAGCAAACGCCTAATACACGATATGTCCCTTTCACCAGCACTTTCTGGTTCCTGCATCATAAAACAAAGAGGGAATCAATCAAACATGGTACCTGAAAAGTATACTTCAATTGTATAATACACTTTTTCTGATTGCATGGCTTAACACTAGAAAGCGCTTGCGCTGTGTTCTGTGAGTTCTAGAAACAACTAAGGTACACTATGAGTACACCCCTTCCTCTGTACGTGCATATATACCTCAATTGTATATTCAGATATAAGATATGTTGAATAAGTTCCGTTACACCAACTTCTTAATTATTAGAATTAGAATTTCTGAGCCTTGGAGATGAAAAATGGGGAAAAAAAACGGATCAAACCAAGCACGGCATTTACAAAACAATTAGAGAATAAATTATATTATTTTGCTTTTAAAATTAACCATGTAGGTCTCTGAAGAAAAAAATATATTGCTTGGAGAGTAATAAAGCCTCAGTTAGTTTGTTCAATAATCTAAAAAATGTCTGTACCTGTTGCTTGATTTGATTGATGACTTTAACGCTTTCTGAATGAGACTGTCGAAAACACTCGGATATAGATTGTTTAAGGCTATCATGATCATCAATTGCAAGATCTACAGCATTTAAATTATTTTCTATACTATCAGCGTTGTAGTTTGATTCAGATTTTATGACTGTTTCTTCTACCTGTAAGCGAAAAGAAACAAGTTAATTAGAGAATTAATTGAGTAACGGTTTAGAAAAGGTGCAAATTTCAACATTATGATGTATGTTATCTCATAAAAATTTCATGTAGAACACAAAAGATGATACAAAAATTATTTGAAGTAACTCTTAACCCAGATATTAACGTTTTTTGAAGCAGAAATTTCAAACTTTCCGCACATAAAAAAACCACAATCTACTAGAATTACATCAGACACTAAGCATTACCATAACAGTCTCTGTGATATGAAAATATGGCAAACTCAATCTCAACACTTCGGATCAGCTGTTGCATGTTGTTCACACTTTGAACAGAACAGGGTAGAGAGAGAATATTACTTGATTAAGAAAGCTTGCCAAAATCGTCGTAGTGAGCGATTTGATTGACAAGGACTCTGGCTTTTTTTTTTTTTTTTTTTTTTTTGGGAGGAATTCAATTTTTTTGTAACCAATGCTAAATGAAAATGATCTTGGTTAGGAGCTAATGTTAGTAATTCTCGTAGCATAAATCGTATTCTACGGGAAAATTTTGCAGAAGAAACATGTATCAGAAGGCTTTTCCACAAAAGTTCCAAAAACAAATTTTAACCTTGATGGAATAAATTAATGAAAAAAAAAAAATTCAATACGTATTACTTGAATAAAATTTATCATGTTAACAACAATCAGGATAAATACAAGCAAGATGCAATCTATACTGAAAACTTTTTCTTAAAGAAAAACGTTGGATAATCTTAAAAGTTATTTTATCTGAAAACTACTGAGAAGTTGAGTTATGAGACTCAGGATTCACTGAACAATATGGTAACACAGCACCATTTAGCTTTCAATAAAATAATCCTGTAGCAGTCTATCACGTCACAGCTTAAATTCAACTCTAAGCTGCCAAATTGAACAGAGTCTATATTGTTTGGTATGCAGTAACAGGGAAAAATTAAAAATTCCTGCATATGATGGCAATGAATCTCCGACTGCATGAAATTGGTGGCATGCCTTGATGCAGTTCTCAAATTTTTCTCTCTCATCTATGGCAGCTAGCCAAATATTTCTTCTGAACATCAGAAGCCTGATTGTTTTCTTCCAGGGTTTGGAATGTGATTCAACTCATTTTGATATTCAATGTAGCAACAAATTTTTCTTCACAAAACAAAATAAATATATGTATTTGACCAAGAAATATTTAGGGTTGGCGAATATGCACCTATTTTCTATTTGTATTTAACAAGCTAAATATTTTGTACTTACCTGAGATAAGTTTTTAAAGAATTTAATAAGCATATCTGCTAAATTTTGATAATCAGAGATAATCGCCAATAGTTTCTCGTTGAGTTCTCGTAAGCGAGGTGGCACTGCATCCTGAGCCTCACCTATAATCAATTTAAAAAATCTAAGTACTGACACAAATCAAATTCTTGAAATGCAGCTAGTGCATAAATGAAAGAGCCTCTCAAGATAATTTGTCTATTTTGGCCACTTCACTTAAAACACCAAAAGCTCATTGATAAAAGGCTTTGAAAATGAAACCTCAGGATGAGAAATGCCTATTGTAAAAGTTTTAGCTTGAGCTATGAGCTAATTTTATTGACGCGGCTTTGCATCATGAACATTGATCGGCATAAAAAAGTCCCCTTGTAGATGTTATAAATGTAAACTTTGAGTCACTAATTAATCAAAATCGGGTTTGAACGCAAATTAAAAATTCTGACAAAGGCTTTTCCCATTGAAAAGTTGTATTTCAATCACACCTCGATGAAATCCTCAGGTTCCCCCAGAAAAGGGGCCACTTTTGAGGAGAATCTTCTTGGAGAGAGAGCACATTAATAAATTTTTTGGGAGGAAGAGTGATTGCCTTCAAGGAAAAAATGAAAAGCTTTAGTATTAAAGGGAGCTGACTAATGTGGTTTTCATTATCTTCCTAAAGACAAAAAAAAAAAAAAAAAAAAAAAAAAAAAAAAAAATCAATCTTAAAAATTACATCATATGATAGTAAAGGAGTAAGTAAGATTAACTGTTTATTTCAATATCTTTTGCTAGGTTGTTCAAAGCTTTGAGCGACAGATTGTCATTAAGTTTTTGGAAATGGAGAAATTTTGATAGAACATAAGTGTAATATATACATACTTCACAAGTTCGAAACCATATGATTGGACATTTTTAGAAAAATATTCTATCCAAAAAGGGTACGATGTCAATTGAAAATGAGGGTTAGATAGAATTCGTTTTCTCAAGATTTCATATTCGATGCACTGTGTGATTTCCAATGATTAGAAATTATCTCTAAATACAATCTCATGAGCAGAAGTTATCGCCCCTTAATTCTGGGGAAAATTCCGCAAACACAAAATATCCTGAAATCTTTTGCAAACTCAAAAGGGAATATCTTAAGAATTAAACTTCAAAAACATCCACTCATTAGCACTGATGAGACTCGTGAGAGCTACTTAAAACCAGCAATGGATGGATCTTTCACGGATGAGAAAAAATTTAAACGATTTTTTTTTTTTTTTTTTTTTTTTTTTTTTTTTTTAAAGTAAAAAAGGAAAAAGAGTAAAAGAAATAAAATGTAATATTACCTTTGCCAACTAAAGCCTCAGCAGTCTGGATTCTTGCTTCGATTTCCGATTGAGTTCGTTTGACTTCCGGCAAAATAACGTTGAGCTTGTTTTCAATCTCAGTTACTACAGCATCCGATGTAGTAGTTTCTTCGTTTATAATTGGGTAAAGCTGACTATCAAGTTTGGAAACCCAGTCCATGGTCTAGAAAAAAACAGACCAACATTTTATTTTAGTCAAACCGATATAAATCAAAATAATTCTTGTGACAAAGTTGTATCAATTTCCTGAGTTTTACCAAATTTGATGACCCAGCTCCACCAAGAAGTCAAATGCAATCTGTGCTCCACATTCTTGCTGAACATTTTGTTATGCTGAGAGTTTGCCTCTGCTGTTTTGTTGCTTTGTATACTTTCAACAACATAATTTAGAACTCATAAAAAGTCAAAACTTCACAAACATATTTGTTTGGTCGAAGATATGTATTTTTTCTTCCTCTCATTCAAACTCATTTAAAGGTAAATCAAGTTAGACAGTGAACTGAATAGTGAACAGATTCTGTTTACAAAATTAAGAGGAATTATACAAAATCCGAGAGGGGCTTTCAGGTACTCAATATTGTTTTAGAGCAAAAGAACTGTTCTTGACCTCATCGTGAAGAATTCTGCATTCAACACCCACAAGTTGAAAGTGAGAAAGACTAATGAATTCTTTCTGCTAAAAAAATAACCTACATTTTGAGACAGAGATTCAGTCAGCGCAAGGGGAATTCAGACAGGACATAAATTGCCAAAAAGTGAAAACAATGGATTAGGGGAACTTGGGTTTCACATTTTGTTTTCATTTCATTGCCCCTAAACTTAGGAGCTCTCATCCACGCAAAGAGACTGGCTCGTAAAGACTTATTTGATGCTCTCAAATAGTTGGGACAAATTTAAAACAGAGCACTGCAGACATGGTCTCTCAGTGAGATTTTGTGGTTGTTAAGCCATTACTGAGTTCATTGAAGTACTTTTTGGTTAAACTAAGGGCTATTCGACTATTTTTAAATTATCCATAAAGTATTATACATTGGAGCCAAGTTGAACTGATAGAATGTATGTGGCATGCAGATTTGTTTCCCTAAAATTTGGAGACACTTCATATATCCTCTAAACTTCGGAGAGAAGAAAAGTATAAATAAAATAAAGCTTGTCAAAGAACAATTAACAGATATTTTGAGAGACAATTACCACATCAGGGAAAATTTTTATTCCTCAATAATATTTTAAGTAACAGATTTTGATTCAAAATTTACTGAACCAATTATTTTGATACAGAAACCGGAAGATTTAATTTTGCTAATTTTTGAATACTTTAATCACTCCGACTGACATAATTATTCTGATTGATGATGTCATCTCCCATGTTAGGTGAGCCTTTCATGTCATATGTCACGAGTTACCAAATAAATGCAGAAGTATGATCATCTAAATAATTAGGGAAAAATAATACATTTTAGTTTCTGACTGAAAAAGAGCCCTAATCAATAGATAACAAATAATGGTAGTTATACCTATTACTATGGTTTCTACCTGGTTGACCAGTACATCACATTTCATATATGAAGAGACTGTAAAGTCACCTTTTAACAGACAGGTACAGTCTTGACGTCAAATATTTAAAAAAACTTTCATTTTTAGCAACTTTTTTTTAGGATTTCATTTTTCTTCTTTCTTTTTGAACGGAAATATTTTTGCACAGAGACAAGATTTTCCTTTGCATCATGTCATGGTTATCGACTTTAAGAGGTCCGAGTTAGTGACCTCTTTGCCTTCTAGTGACAGGAGATACCTGCTTTGATACCAATAGCATCCTCTTAGCAAAGGAAAAAATTATGAGAAGGGAACTTTCTCATCACAGTTGCAACATGAGGCTGAAACACAACTCTCACAGGTTCAAGCACCTACTAATAACATATTTCATAACTAGTACAGCCAAATATACAAATATACTCAGATTTCCCTCCTAATTTGACAACACTGATATCTTGACACAACAAGCATACGCAAAGAAATTAATTAGACTCAATTCAAGGACCATGCGGTGGTTTGACACGGCGTCTCCGTCCGACTGGGAGTTGGCAGTGCACCAAATTGTATTCTATAAACATGCAAAATTTGAGTCAGGGGATCTGTTTGATATGTCTCTCACAGTTTCCCGTTCGAAGGATTATTCAGTTTCCGAGTCAAAGTTCATCCACATCATGAGAATGAGCAATTAATGCAAGTCCAATCAGTCACAGAGCTCATTAATCTTCATTTGCACACATTTTTAAAGATCTAAGTGAAAGATTCAAGTTGAAGTATCTGCTTGAAGAGTTCACGGTTTTAATTTTGAAACATTTCCAAACGAAGCTAGTAATATGAAACATTTTAATCCCGAATTCAGCAAAAATGATAATTAATGAGACAAATTTTGAAATATGAGTATTTTTCATTTGGCTGAAAGAAGTTGGTTGACTTTTCAGTTAAAATCAATATGAAATTTGGAATTTCATAAGAGGGATTTTGCATTGGACAGGTTAGATAGACTCTGGTGGATCTATGAAGGTTTTGGTAACTTCAGATGAGAAACATTTATTGAGTTCACTTTCATGAACATACTCTCAACGATTGGCAATCTTGCTGTCAACAGTCAGTTAACAGGTCGATAGGGTTTCCAACCTATTAAAGCGCCAAAAATTTTGGCAGGACACTGCATTTCTCAGACATGTTGCATCTGTCTTTCAAGTTGGGTTTTGCTATGTCTGATTCTGAGACGTTACAATGATATTTGCACTGCCCGAATAGTAAAATTAACTTTGGACAAATTGCTGACAATGACCTATTTTTGGATGTGATTTATAGCTGGCCTTCAATGAGGGCAAGAGAAAAGTTCCAGGACGTAGCGTGTAATGAGTTTAGCTGGCAATCACCCTACTTATTTAATTATTAATAAGCTTCTGCGTTACATAAAACTAATAAAACTGCAATGACAGCCTAGAACTTCAAAGTATCCGATCTTATTTCAGAGTTCCATGTTTCATATTAGAGCATGCTATTTTTAATTTTACTACGGCATTGAAGATACTAAAGAAAATATTGATGTCACTCTATTAGGAGACATATTATTTGAAATTATTGATCCTCCTTTTAGCTCTTGATTTGTCTTTTCTTTTGTTGATTCTTTCACTTGATAATGGTCATTCCCGAAGGCTTATTATCTTCAGATTTCGACCAAATGATTCATGTTATCAAGATAGGATGATGATAATTTAAAAAAACCAAGAACTAAATCGGATTAAAAAGTGTAAGTTAAAACTAAGTCTGCGGACAAAGAAGATAACGTATTGTTGTCTTCTTACAACAATGAAACAGTCTCGTTTCCATCCGAGGGCTCAGCTATAGCTGCTTTAAAATTGTATTTGATTTAAATTTTGGTTTTTTCAATTCCCTTTATTTTATTTGGATAATGTGACAACATTGTCTGGTCAAGATCTGGAAATGAAAGGGTAAGGTCTTCCTATATGGCTATTATTATGTGAAACAAACAACAAAGAAAAACATGAATCAAGAGGTAAGAGGATTGATAATTTGAAATGAATTGAGGAGACTATTACAGAACCCCAAAATTATGCATTGACATTCCTCCACAGAGACAATAACATTGACATTGAAAAACTGCAGGATTTTAGGAGAACCTACAAATGAAGTTATGTGGACTGACGCGATGGGAAAATCATCAACTAGGAGTTTCAACTGGACGTATTTCTACCAAACAGAACTATGTGAATTAAGACATGAGCCCTGAGACCCATAAGAATGTATGCACAACAGGACTCACGTCATAATGCACATAGTTCCGTTTGGCAGAAATACGTCCAACTGTAGTATGCTTTGCTCTGATAAAAATATAATTGAGTGATACTCGAGTAAAAAACAAATCAGTTACGTCAACTTAAATGCAAAGAAATTCTTTACAGGCTGGCTTTAATGGATGACACGCAGAAAAACTGCTTTGCTCCTTACACACTGTGTGATTGTTGAAATTAAAGTAGGTAATCTGCTCTGTAAATTTCCGAGGGTGCAGAGAGTTCTGAGCTTTTGCATTATCATTCACTCTTTATAGATAGCACTACCCACCTCTCATAATATTTCCCTCCAATTTAAAAAATGATGCCTTTTGTTTGCTTTGATGTTAATTTTTGATACAACAGGTGCTGACAGAGAACAATTCAAAATTTTGCCCAAATTGCAGTTGTCTGATTGTCTGTGCCAATATGCAAGGGTTGCAAAGCCCTACAGGGATTAAGAAAAAGCTCAAAACTTTTAGCCCTTTGAATTGTTCACCCTTTCTACATTTTCATGTGGTTGAACTGAGATGTAGTCGGACATATTTAAGCATTTAAGCTCATACCAAAGCTACCTGAGTGAAAGGTAATGATAAGGTAGGTGCATAACTTTGAGGAGAAGATAATCCCAATTTCAATAGTGACAGTTTGCGAGAAGCAATGCCATTTTTTCCAGTATGAAAGATGTGATAAAGACAAGATCTACTGTAATGTGCTTGATGATACTAATGATACAATTTTCGGAGGTATTCAAGTCTCACTAAAGTTAGAGGCTTTGAAACAGAATCTTTGCACTCATGTAATTATTGATACCTCCGCAATATTTACTAGGTTATATTGTTGCTAAATTTATACTTGCTTTCATTGCAAGGTTTGTCAGTTTGACTCATTTTTCAACTGTCAAGAAATTCAAAATAACTGATTTCACCGAGTGCATGAAAAACTTATCTAGGAGGGAAAAAGCCTGAGAGCTTTTAATTGAAGCTGAAAATTTGCCATAGCCAGTTAAAACGATGACTTTTAAGGAGACAAAAGCATACAAACAGTTATGTAAACATCAAATTGTGATCCTATATATCAGACATATGAGTGGTTGAACAAAGTTTTATCATGTAGATATCCTGTGTAGTAAATGGTCCTTATCCTATGAGAATGCATGGAAGGGGACTGAGGGTGTAATTTAATAAGTGCCTAAAACTAATGCTGAGCTCTTTGCACCTTGAGTAACTTTAGAAGATATTATTTTCATTTGGATCATTAGAAAATTAAGAACAGGAATAAGACCAAGCTCCTTACTTTCGGCGCTGAGGAGTAGTGCTGCTTCCGATAAAATATTCCGCTGACAGTAGAGAATTTTACCCCAAACGTGGTCAAGCTGATTACACTGCTGTGATGGTAGGAGTCTATAGTAATCAAAACTGCACGTACATTCACCGTATCCGATAAGACTGTCACCACAAGCTTCACTGCTTTGTTCACTATTGAATTTTAAACTTTCTTTTTTTTCAAAAAAAAGTAACAAAAATTTGAAAATATAATTTTGTTCTTCAAAGCAAAAATATACGACACAAACTTAATAATTTCAAAATCGCACTTTCAAATGTTCTCCCAACTTGTAGGCAAAAACACTCCATTTTAAAACTTGTATGGCAATCAAACATTTAAACTATCAGTTGCGGTTTCATTAAATTGGAAGCTCAGAAACAATTCCAAATGTTTCTTCACGAACATACAGAAATTAATTTTTGACAATACGACAAAATATCTTCAGAAAACAGTTATTATTTCAATCAACACAACAACAGTTATTATTATAATCAACATTTAAAACATCATTTAAAAAATTCATTATAGTGATTACACACAGGGCATACACTGTCATGAATTATTTCTTAACACCTGTTTTTATCGCGCACTGTTAAACTTCTTTATTTTGAGAGTTGAGCTATAACACTGATTTCCTGTTGGTAAAAATTTGACTGGATGTTGCAGAGGAAAATGAGAGTGCAGTAACTGAAAATACTTTCATTGCTAAGAGAAGAAAAGTCCTGAGCCAGACAGGCGGGCAGGACTGTTTTTAGGCAGGACGAAAAAGAAAATAAAAAAGCACCCCGAGAGTCCATTAATTAAGGCGATTGATCGTAAAACACTTCACTGGCGACACAAATTGCCCGAGTAGACTCACAGCTGCAAGTGACAGGTCGAGAGTCAAAATAAACAAAAATAGTCTGAATTCCACTCACCTTGCTGCTGTCTGCCATATTCTGCTGCCAGAGGTCCCCTATTCGCTTCCTGTGTTCGCAAATCTGTGCTTCGATCGTTGAGAAGATGGTGCTTAGGCGAGTTTCGCGACTGGTGAGTTCTTTGATGAGGGCGTCGATGCGTTGCTGAGCATGGTCCACATCGAGGTACACATTGCGGCTCTGGAAGAATGAAAAAAATAAAATACACTAGACAAATATAAAAAAGAGAGAAGAGGCTGGTAATCTGGCACTAAGTCAAGAAATTAACAGTCATTTTTTGACTCAAAATTTCTTTGCATTGATGCCAAGTTTTCTGAGATGAAAACAGGCTCCTCTTGAAATGAGAATAAACTCTTGAATCACATCTTTGAATCCTTCTATACATTATAATTAATACCTTCCTGTAGGCCTGTGCGTACATGCAAATTTACTGATCTCCCCATTTGGTGACAGTAGAAGTTATGATAAGTTCATAACTCGAGATATGAAACCCTAATCCTTACATTTACAAATTTTACATTTCTTGCAGACTTGGATAAATGTAAACACACGCCGACTTCTACTTTCACCCCCTTCCCCCTCCCACCCACAAGATAACCGTCATTCCAGTCTAGCTTGGACAGAGGTATTGGGTTAAAAAACAGTATGAAGAAGATCATATTTTGGAACTACACGAAGTACTTTTCAGGACTTTGATTTAATTTCCCATATTTATTTTTTGTAACTTGTAACTGGATGTAAGAAATTTAATGCATTCCTGGCAATGAAATGCCCACAAACATTAAGAAATAGAATTTGGAAAATTTTGAGATTCAACTCTACTCTACTTGAGCAAGCAAAGGTCTTCCGAAAAAATTACCTCCTTTTTATGTCTACTTCTGGATCGACATAAACAGATTTCTTTCCAAATAAATTACAATTAAGTCGGAACTTTCACTCTCGTTCTTTTTTCATGCACACGAACATGTGTAAAAATCGATTCAATAAAACATTTTAGGCAGTTCAGGATCAACTTAAAAAAATGATGCAAAAAAGAAGAAAATGCTCTTTCTTCCAAGGTTTCGAAGATGTTTTTTTTTGGGGAGAAACAACAACGTTACATGTAAGGAGAAGGTAAAAATTCCATTAATAAGAAGTTCACAACGCCGACTCCTTAAAAGCCCCCCNCCCCGGCCCAAGAATAAAGCCCTGAGAAATCTTTGAATTTCTATTGAAAGGTTGGCAGATTTATATTAAACCTCATGAAGAATTTTTCGGATGAAAAACTGAACTAACCACTGGGTAGATTCTGTGATTCTAATTCATTTTGAACTGCACGTGTCGTGCACGAAACTAATGGGAGTCATTGATGTATGAGAAAGAAGATGTTAACTCGCGAATGACAGAGATTCGTATAGGTAACTTTCTGTGGAGCATTCAGTCAACCGGGAGTAAATCATGGTGTCTAGAATTACTAGCCATGCTCATTCTCTGATTTCCCCCTAATTTTCAGGAGCTCATTCCCTGATGAGAAATTAAAGTTTTCTCCCCTTTCTTCGGGATTTTCTTGAGAAAAACTATAGAACTATCCGGAGTGCCAGACATGAATATCGTTTTTTTTTTTTTTAAAAAAATCTTTCAGTCGAATCTTCGGCGCACATTAAAAGTTCTAACTGCAAAAGCGTTGATGTTTAAAATCATCCGGTCAATGAAAGCTCCTCCATTATTCTGGCGAAATAAAGGTTCAAGAGGTCAATAATGGCGGCTCAGGTGCAATAACATAAACCTTAATATGGACGTATTTCTGTCAAACGAAACTATGTGCATTATGACGTGAGCCCTGTTATGCATGTATTCTTATGGGTCTCAGGGCTCATGTCTAAGTGCACATAGTTCTGTTTGGCAGAAATACGTCCATATGGTCTCTGAGCGGTATAAAAGGAAATTCCCGGTTTTTGGAAGAAAATCCCTGATTTTCCCAGAAATTTGTCATGCCTTAATGAAACCCGGTACACCCGGGTTGCCCGGTCTTAGACACCATGGAGTACTTAAATAGGCAGATCCCTCGCTTAATTAAAAAAATCCTTCAGACTGAAAGCGATCTGTGTGAAAAATAGGTCCAGAGATTGGCTGGCAACGGTGCGCATCCTGCGGTATTAATAAAACGGGATCATAAGGAAAGCCGAAGTTTTCTGGAGACACCCCCGCCCTTCCTCCTCGCCTGGTCGCCTTGCCTTCCCCTCCTTCCAGGGCTGGAGTGGCTGGAGGACTCGTTAAATATTTTTGGACAGAGGAGGAGGAGGAGGGGGCGGGTCCTAGCTTCAAAGGAAATGAACTTCAGTTGTAAACGGCGTTGCTGCAAATGATGTCGTCGTAAGACGCGCGACTGCAATACTCTCTTTGGGCCACGAAGTCACGATTTCACAATAGCCATCTTCCGGGGTAAGTGTTCAGGGAAATTCTTGCCTGCGTCAGGAATTTGCGTTTTTTATGTGAATTTTGGCAAGAAACACGGTGGCGCCACTGGACGCCTCTGAAATCAACTCCCAAGCTCAAAAAAAGCTCTCAAAGTTCAAGCTACAATGGAGGGAATATCCCACGCTGTAATGAGAGTTCAACTCTAAATCTATAATAGTCAAACTCTTAATGCGCAGATAGGGAACAAAATATATCAGCAAGGTTGCCGTGGTTCAGACCTAGGAGTTCCCAAACAAAGCAGCTCCCTATCTTTGCATGGAGAGTTTGACTAGATATAAAGGTGAATTCTGAACGTCGGGTTATGCTTTCCGTTGCGGCCTCAACTTCGAGAGCATTTTTTGAGTTTGAAAGTTGATTTCAGAGAAAATTAGGGGCACCATCATGTTTTTCGCGAAATTTCACACAAGGAAGAGCACTGAAATCGCAAAACTCCAACGGGTGCAAGAACTCTAGGGCCATTTTGCGGGGGGAATGTTCAATTTGCTCAGTGGAGCAAACCGGAGCAACTGGCATCTTAAAAGCCCGTATCAGACGATCAAAGTAGAGGCTTCAAAGAGACTCATCGATTGCCCCGACTTGAACCGCCGGCCAATGAGAGGGCCAGAATAGGCATCGATAAAACTCTTTGAAGCCTCTACTTTGATCGTCTGATACGGGCTTAACTGGAGAGACTTGAACGCGTGACTGGATTTTACGATTTGGGCGAATGATCCAGCAGGATCCTGCCGTAGAATCACGCCTCGAGAGTCAAGCAGCATTCGGAATTTTTATTAAAACTCAATCCCACAACATTTTCTGACATTCTTGGCGACAGTTCGCACAATTTCGCATGAAAAAGTAAGTTCGTTGCAGATGAATTTAGTTCTTGACTGCAGCAGAGTATTTTCCTCTCTTGGTCTGCAACCCTGCCGATCTGGTTGAAAGTCGACGAAATCCACCACTGGAAAAAAAAAAAAAAAACCACATTAGATCTAAAGTCTAGACTCTTGAAAACATTGACAAGAAAAAATACTCTTGATTCGATCAGATTTTTGATTAAATCAAAAGGAAATCCGCTCAAATTAAGAGGCTTGGTTCTTGATTTAAGGTTAAATCTGATTGAATCAAGAGTATTTTTTCTTGTCGATGTTTTTTAGAATCTGAACTCTAGATACAATGTGTTTTTTTTCCAGTGCACTCGCGAAAATTCGCCTCTTTTCTCTCGCGTTATGCAATAAAACTAGCAAATGCAACGGTTCCGAGGCTATTTTCTACTGCGCCGATTTTTCAGAAGAGGGGGGGGGGGAGGTCCACCCTGGCCCCTTTAGAGCAACGCTCATGACAGTGTTGCGCCCTTTTCGCCGGGGAGCCAGGAATGACATGACTCCCACTCCACGTGTAATAAACGCCGCGTTGCGACGTTTCGGGAGTTTTGAGCCGCGCGCCTGGCTGTCGCGGCGGCTTAATGACGCGAAGCGATCTTTCGCTGGCGGTTCAAGCTCTGACAGGAGGGCGTAAGAGGAAGCCGCGAATAGGTGTCAAGACGAACATCATCAAGACATGGAAGCGCGCCCGCTAAACTTGGATGCAAAACTCCCCGAGTTGCGAAATTTTCGCTCGAGCACGCGTAATGGGAACGCTGCCGCACTGGAAAAAAACATATCGTCACCTTCCAGGCAAAGTATCACAAGCGCCATGCGACGTTTAAAAATTTCCGCCGCCATTTTATTTCTTTACTGCGAAATTGTTGGTTGAATCTGTTTGGAAATTTCACTAAATTTTATCGGCAGCACAAAGAAAATTCAGTGAAATTTTCGGACAGCTTCGTTGAACAATTTCTCTGTAAAAAAATAAAATGGCGGCGGAAATTTTTAAACGTCGCATGGCGCTTGTGATACTTTGCCTGGAAGGTGACGATATTGGATCTAGAGTCCAGACTCTTAAAAACATCGACAAGAAAAAATACTCTTGAATCAATAAGACTTAAGCTTAAATCAAGAACCAAGCTTCTTAATTTGAGCGGATTTCCTTTTGATTTAAGCTGAAATCTGATTGAATCAAGAGTCCATTTCCTTGTCAATATTTGCATGAGTCTAGACTCTGGATCCAATGTGTTTTTTTTTTTTTTTTCATAGAGTACACAGAGTCGTAATGTAAATGGGAGAGCTGGCGCCTTGTTCTGCTCGACGAGTTCCGCGCCCGGTGTGCGCCGAGTTCGGGTCACTTTTTCGATACCTGTTCGATCCAAAATGGCGGTGTGGAATACGTGGTGATTCCTATCTTCTTTGTTTACATCGGATGGCCGGGTACCCGTGTATCGCAAACAATCGATTATGTATCGAAAAAGTGACCTGGCGTCACACAGGAGTCTCGGAATTCGGGACCTGGAGAATGCTTGAAAGTGGCGCCAGCTCACCCACTTACATTACGACTCTATGTACTCTATGTTTTTTTCCAGCCAAGAAAAAACGCCGTATGTGCCTTCAAGCATTGCCAAAATTCCTCAGACAAAACACTAATTTTCAGGAAAATTTGTGAATATCTTTCTTCCAATTTCTCAGATAATTTTGTTTGTAATTTAATCGAAAAGGTCTGAAAATTTCAAGAAACATATTCATAACTTTCCTAAAAAATAGACATTTTATCGGAGTAAATTTGGCAAACCTCGAATGTTCGTACGTCGTTCTTCCTTAACACGGCAGAACGAAAAACACTCAGTGCCCATCGACGGGGAAACTCTCAAA